GCCGCGGAAAGATCGTCCTGATCCCAAAAGGAAGTTCACAGGCTAGAGGCCCAGGAGACTTCCGCCCGATAGCATGCCTTGAATACATGCTATAAAGTCCTAACCGCGAATGATTGCTCAACAGAATCCTCAGAACTGCCAGCTCCGTGCTCCCGCAGGAGCAGGTAGCCTTACGAAAAGGAATCTGGGGTTGCACTCATGCGCATACGCTGGATCAAACGATCTGTAAAGATGCTATAAGACGCAATAAACCGCTGCATATGCTTTGGGTCGATATGACCAAAGCGTTCGATTCGGTATCACATGGAGCGATTAAATGGATACTGGCGAGATCTGGTGTGCCGTCCCCGACTAGGAGACTGCTATCCGTGATCATGTCAAGGCAGAGTGTAAGATATTGCGGATACCAGAATGGACGTATGGTCAGGAGCAAACCTCTGGATGTCAAAAGAGGAGTAATGCAAGGGGACACCCTTAGCCCACTCCTTTTTTGCATGGCAATAGCCCCCATCTCGGCGAAGCTGCGGAATTCCGTCAGCCCGTATCGAACAGCGACAGGGAATGCTAACGCCTAGCGGAGGACCTATGGAAATCACCCATCTATTTTATATGGACGATCTAAAGGTCTACACATCCAAGTGGGAAGACATAGTAAAAGCAAAAGAGGGTATAGAAAAAGTTGCAGGAGAGCTAGGGTTGCGTATGAATCCCAGTAAGTGCGCGGTAAATTCGCTATGCGCCCCTCCAACAACTAACCCCAACAGAAGGAATCGGAAGAACATTCCAGTCCTCGGCTCTAATTCCCTATATAAATATTTAGGAGCAGAACAAAATGCTCTCATAAATACAGACCAGTTATGGTCAAGAGTAGTAGAAAAGGCAGAGGCCACTGCAAGGAGAATTATGCTCAGTGATCTGACGGTCCGTCAAAAGGTCAACGGGTATAATCAAGTGGTGATACCGAAGCTCAAATATGCCTTCTCGTGTGTAATATATGGACAGGAAAATTCGGCACAATGAGAAAGCGTACAAGAGCATTCGATGAATCAATACGCAAACTGCTTGGCCGAGACAAAAATGAGATATGGGCACAGTTGCGTAGCGAGGCTATATGTCAAGAAAGAAGATGGGGGATTGGGACTCAAGTCGGCCGAAGAAGAACTAGAGCACACAGTTGTCTACAACTGGTGCTACGTGGCCTCAAGACCAGAGCTCCAAATCCCCTATCTACTTTGTGAGAGTCTCAGACGCAGTAACAAGCGATCGCTCTCGTCCGACTTTTACTCTGTCTTGGCAGAGAATAGGTTGGAAAATGAAGTCACTCGCCTGCCTGGAGCAAACCATTCATGTGAGAGGAAGAACGTACATGTCAGCCACTAAGGCTGCTCGCGCGATTTCGACCCTCGTTCACGAACGCTGGGCTCGAACACGAATGCATGAATGGAGGCAAAGGGAAGTGGCGAGTAGAGTGATTGCAAACAACATCACAGGGAACACCTCCCTATATATGCCTAAAGGACTTCGTTCCTATGGTCACAGAAAGGATGGGTTTCCTCGGAAGTACTG